CATACTGCAGCAGAAATAATTTAAAGGGACACAAGTGCTTACGCTTGCAGCGTGTATCAGTGTTGGGGTGAAAGCACGTGCTGAGCGTGACCTGCACGTAGAGCCACAGTGGCAGATCCCACCTAATCACATGATTTTCCTGCAGTGGGCTCAGTTCTTCCCACAAGATGAACAGGGATGACAGATGGAAGAGGAGGGTTCATTTAAACATAAAATGGATAAGCTCGCTAGCTCTGAGCTGGGAACCTGGATGGAGAACAGGATGGAAAATTGCAGAGGAAGGAAGACATGGGAAGGGAACACTAAAGGCAGGGAGGGAGCTGAGATGCAAGACAAGCAGAGCGCCTTGCCCAGCACCCAGCCGCTGATTAAAGCCGTAGATCAGGACAGAGCCTATAAACAACATCAGCAAGGATGATTCAGGGTACTTTAACAGGAAAGCAATAGAAAGGAAGGGCAAGAAATAATGAATCAGAGAAGACAGAGAGAGTGTCCATCATATAATAATAATAAAAAAAAAGAAGGAATTCAGATGCACCAAATCTTAATACTAGAACTTTTTTTCTCTCTGTAAGAAAAATATTAGCCATGGAAACTCATCATGACACATGACAGTGCTTGAGGCTAAGACTGTAGCAGGACTGTTAAAAAGATTAATTCATGATATAAAGAAAATATCCATCACTAAAGCACAGTATTTCAAATGGTTTCCTTAAGAAATGCGGCTTATGTGACCACGCCGCTTGCTTGCACATATGAACACACGCATGCACACACTCCTCCCACGAGTGACTTGCAAATCTCATTATCCAATTTCAGATATATTTAACAGATAGAGGGATATTTGGAACAGGCTGCCCAGAGAGGTTGCAGAGTCTCCTTCTCTGGGGATCTCCCAGACCCTCCTGGACGTCACCTTGTGCCACGTGCTGTGGGTGTTCCTGCTTGAGCAGGGGGTTGGACTAGATGATCTCAAGAGGTCCTTTCCAACCTCAACTGTTCTGTGATTCCACGATATTCAAGAATTGGATAAATATTGTGAAAGTACATAGTCAGGTAGTGAAGATGGATTCCACTAACCCCCAAACTGCAGTATTATCCAAACAGTGCACATGCCAGAACAACTTCAAGCCATCAACCCATATGAGCTGAAGCTTACACTGGGCAGGAAATTCTTTTCACAAAGCCACTGGTGTGTCCTCTGCCTTGACATCCAGTCTCACCACAGACAGACTGGGATGACTCAAAAATAAATAAATCCATTACCAATCTTAGAGCAATAGCCAGAGTCAGGATCCCAGTCCAGACAGACTGCCGTTCTCTAGGGCAGTGCCTGTACACATTTTCCTCCAGAGACTTCTGGTTTGTTTTTTAATTATTTTTTTTACTCCTTTCATCGGAACCATTTCAGTACAACCAAAATTCGCCTCCTTTGCGGAGTTGACCTTTGAGATGCTCACACAAACACCTCCTCCAAGCTGCACGCACGGCTTGCCGGGAGCGCAGCAGCCCTGGGCATTTGCCTCGTGGAGAAACGTTCCTGAAAATATTGTATTATGGATTTTATATCATTCATGGAATCCTGATTTTGCCTTTGTCAGAATTCAAGACAGAAATTGTTGGATGGGGTTGTCTATGGTTGAATAGCAAGCTCTCCTTTTATACAGCTAAATAAAATGACCTCTTTTCAGATATGCTCAGAACAAACAACTGGTGCTGAAATCAGGAAGAGCTCTTTACTCTCAGCACTCCTCAAAAACAGGCTTTGGTGAAAAGACTCCAAACGGGATTTGGGGAACCCAGCTCTGAAAACCAGGTTTGACTATTTGGACCATCCTTTGGATACTGCTTTGTTCTCTTGCTTTGTTTTCTAAAAGCATTTTTCTACTGCCGTGCTTGTAAGATAAAATTAAAAATTAAAGCCACTAAAACAAATCCAACAGCTTAAACGAGGGAGATGGACTTCGGGCAGTGCCTGGCCAGGCCCCAGCTCCGTGGGGCCGCTGTCGCGGCGCCTGGCTCTGCGCTGAGCACATCCCTGTCGTGCTGCCGTGCTCAGGAGCAGCACCGGCACCGCGGGAGGCTTCTCCGCCCTCCCGGCCCCTGTCTTCAGTTACGTGAAGCAGCCCAGAGCAGAGCCATCACCCTGGTGTCCTGGACAACCTGAAGCGCAAGGCAGCCATAGGTGCCTCTGCAGGGACAAAAATATGAAAAATGTAATTCCTGTAGTCTGGCTAGTCTTCTATGAGGGAGGATCATACCAAAATTTTATATATCACAATTCATCACTTAACCATTGGGAACAAAGGAAAATAATTTAAAAGACATTAATGATTTATTATCTTCTCTTAAATCTTCTGGTGTTTACCACAATCACACAAAAAGAGTGACTAAATTAAAATACCAAATAGAGCAAGATAGGAATGCAAGAGGTTGAAAGTCTTTTGGATCTCTGTAAATTGTTATATCTCTTTTGCTTTAGTGATTTTGACAACACTTAGGAATGGCTCAGGCTGAAATACAAGTTGGCCCTGTTTTCAAAATAGATGTTCTTCCCCAACACTTAAGCAAACAATATTTTAGCAATGTAAACTCACCTAATACAGAAATCTATAAATAATTTCCTTCTCGAGAAACCGCTTGGCACATTAGTGGTGAACAGTTTTCACTAAAAGCTTTTGAAACAATCAAAAGCGTGCAAAATAACAGTGTAGCCAACACCAAAACCACAGTAGTTCAGACTACAATAAAGAACATTTTATTTGTAATAAGTTACTAAAGCCTTTGCTTTCCTAACTTTCCAATGTTCTCCCTTGCCTTGCTCTGCTGTCTCTCTGTAAGACACAAAAAACATCAGGACATATATCCGTATTGTCAGGATATATGAGGAAATCTTCCTAATGGGTTTATTGGATTGATTGCAAAGAGACAATGGATTTGGTCCTTGCCCTGTCTAAATAAAACATGATTATTTTGTTCAAAATATTTGTGAAGATTTTTTCTGCTAATGCTTGCAGGAAGTACAGACCATGTGTTCTTAGAAAACTGACACCCCTGTGTTCGTCAGATCATCAGGATCACAAGTCAACAGTATTTTCATGCAAGATTTACACTACACCGAAACTCATGCATTTAAATCTGTGATGTGCAGCAAAAACATATTCCCCCACAAATATTTCATTGCTAAATGGTTATACAGCATGTAAAGGCAGCTGTTTTACGCAATCTTTCCCATACTCTCAACAATATACTTAGATTAGAGAAAACCAAACCCAAAACATGACAGCAGGCTGGGGCTTTGTCACATCATAGTAATTGCAATTATTCTCAACGGTAGCTACACTCATCATTCACATTTAAGAATAAGGCACATGTTTAAAGTGTTCACTTACTCTGCCAGAGCTGTGGTGCTGAAGGACTTATCCTGAACGCTGAAACAGAAACAAGGCAACATGAGCGCGGTGGGCAGGGAGGGAGGGCTCCAGACCCACCGCGCTCACACCGCGCCGCGCTCCGCGCTGGTGCCGCCACGCAGGTAGGCTGCGAGGCTCGGAAATGGGTCGTGCTCCATCATTACTGTAACAGTGCTGTTAAAAAAGCCTCGGGTCTATAAACAGGTATGTGACATTCTGTTCTTCAAACATTCTATGCAATTGGCTCATAAACCACCCCCCCCCCTTTTTTTTTTTTTTTTTTTTTTTTACTTAAAATAGGGTTGCTGGTGCCGCCACGCAGGTAGGCTGCGAGGCTCGGAAATGGGTCGTGCTCCATCATTACTGTAACAGTGCTGTTAAAAAAGCCTCGGGTCTATAAACAGGTATGTGACATTCTGTTCTTCAAACATTCTATGCAATTGGCTCATAAACCACCCCCCCCCCTTTTTTTTTTTTTTTTTTTTTTTTACTTAAAATAGGGTTGCTCATTTATGATCTCTGCAGGCTTTTTCCCTTCTTCTTTAGTGGTCTCATACACGCTCAGCTCATGAGCAAACCCCAGGGGAAGCCATGAAAAAATAATCTGGCAGGAAGGACAGCTCAAGCAGTGAGAGGTTGTTCAGCGAACAGCAACGCAGAGACGAAACCATTCCTATGAAAGGAAGAGGCTGCTGCCCTCCCGCAGCAAAATGCCTCAAACCTGAGGTAAGACACCCAGCCAGGGTCAGCTCGGGAGAGAGCGACCCGCTCCGGCGGCCGCGCTGAAATTCCCCCTCCAACAGCACCCCTCCGTCCCGTAAACATGCTGATGGATCATCCCAACCCCTGGCAGCAGCAGCAGGGAAGAGCACCCCGCTGCTCGGTACGCGGGGCGGCGCGGGCGGCAGGCTCCATGCCCCGCGGGCAGCAGCCGCACGGGCCCATCTGCTGCTCTCCTGCTGCCAGGGCGGGAGCGTCCCTCACAGCACGGCGCAAAGCGCCCGGCCTTGCTGCGCAGCCCGGCTGCGGCCGCCTCCGCCTGCTCCAAGCGGCTTTGGGGAGGGCAGGGCGTACAGAAAAGCTGCATGTGACGGCGAGCATTGGAGTCCTGCCTTAAGCATCCTACCTATGTTCATACTTCTTTTCCATCCTTTATTTTCAGCCACTAGGCCCTGTCTGTACAAACGAACACATCTTTATCATTTCTTCCATCCACAGGACCTGATGAAAATAATACGACACCTGCACATGCCCAAGTTTTGGATTTTACCACTGAACAGCATCAGAAGCAGGTATATTTTTAAATCCCTTGCATTTGGAAGTTGTTAAAATACCTCTCTCTATTCAGAAAGCAAAAGATTTTTATCAATTATTTCATTGGTTAGGGAGGACAGTTTTGGTGATTCATATTTTTGCAAAATTTTGCTTAAGGGAAGACACTTTCTCTCTCCAAAAGCTTCTCATTTTGCATCCAGTTTTCTCTCTGTCCTCTTTTGCCAAAAGTTAGCCAAGCCAACATAAATACCACAGGCCAAGTCTCAGTTGACAATAAAAACACTGGAAATACCTACACGTTCCCTAGAGATATCAGGATTCAGAAATCTTGTCACTTCTGAAAATTTGCCTAATATACACATGGCCTTTTTATGGCTCTAAAATAGATTGGCATAGAAATTCTGGTCTTTATTTAGTTTGTAGCACCATGAGAATTATTGCTAGAGTAGAAAGAAGACTGAGACGGGAATCACGCTGCCTCCAGCTCAGTTCTGCACACACCAGACACACGCACGGTACAACGGACCCGCTCCCGAGCTCAGCGCGCGTCCGTCGGCACTACGAGCACGTCTCCATCAGGGAATGCTTCACCCAGGACAAGGGGCAGTTGCAGAGATGGCAGAAGGAGGCCGTGTGGGGAGAGCAGGCGGAAGGAGCTGCCGCTTCGGGGGATCAGAAGGGAGAGCGACCATCAAGATAAAAAGGTCAGAACAACGGGAGCCAGCAAGCTCTGGCAGTCTGAATGGCCACCCATCTGCAAGCTTTGTACCAGCCTGGGCTCATCTGCAAAGTAGGACCCCAAGCTTTGATTTCCAGACTTTGCCCATCTGGTCTGAGGAAATGACTGTTCTCTTAAGGGGATTTCTGGCTGAAGCAAATGATAAGGCCTTTTGACCTTAACTACAGAATAACGAAGAATTTCCACTGGGGAATACGCTGTTCGTTCAGAGACAGAATTTCATTTTTGCAAAGAAATCTGAACTCTCTAAGGCATTGGGAAAGCTAGCATTTCTGCACTTAGCATTCATCACCTGCTAATGACCAGTGCAGCGCAGTCCTGCCGGCTGCAGGCAGAGCCCCTCGTGCTGGGGGGGCTCTGCAGGTCTCCGGCCTCGTGCGGAAGCAGCCGCGGCGGAGGCGGCTGCATCCTGTGCAGGGCCAGGGCGCGTGAGGGGCTGAGCAGCAGAGCCCCGGGGGCCTCCCTCCGCCTGCGGGGAGGACGTTCCTCATGTGCCACTACCAAACGCAGGCAAAGCTGGACGGACATCCCGCGCCGCCTCTCTGCATTAAGACAAGGCTTCCCTGCCAGAACTCTCTGAGCTCAGAGACTCATAAACTATCGAGCAAATTTGTTTGCCTTGGAGGCCGAATGCTTTTGCCAAAGAGCAACGTCCGGAGATCCCAGCGCTCCCGCTGCATCCGTCATCTCCCTCTCTGACTGTATGGACGGGGAAAGGCACTGACACCTGCCCGCAGATACACACAGCACATGCCTTTGTGGACAAAACATGGGCAAGCCCAGCACAGAGCAGGTGAAAGTGCCAGGTCACGCTGCCACTTCTAAGGTCTCCGTTACAACAGAGCGTTTTTATCCGGGCAGAACACAAAGCGACGCTCTCGGCAGCCACCCAGCTCTGCCTTTACCAAGCGCCTTCTCGCACTGCGCACAGGGTTGCTAAGGGGACAAGAGCTGGGCTCCTCCTGCAGCAAAAGGCTCCCTCCGCAGCGCAGCGCCTTGCCCGTTCTTCCAGAGGAATCCTGCAGCGTGTTTTGGGCTGTTTTCCTTGCTTTATGCCTTGCTGACTGGAAGCGCCACGTGAGAGGGAAGCCACATGCCTGTTCCTGCAGTGATAACTACTGCACGCTATGCTCAGCGGCGCAAAATATTCATGTGCTCCCCGACTTGCTTTCTTGACAGTCTTTCCATGGATTACATTCTCAGGGAAATCAGGACATGTCTTAAGACAAATTAAGCTAAAATACAGCAATTACATGCAGGAGTCAGTTTGCAAGCACTCACTCCAGTTTCTCTTTCTTCGATTTTCTCAGTGACCTAATTAGCACATCATCTGAATGAACAGACCTGGGGGAAAAAAAGTGCACAGCTGATCCTGCTGTATGTCTTAAAATGCACGAGACACGCAGCAAGAGACGCCAGCCAAAGGCAGGTACACACACTTTTATCATCATCCAATTCAAGGCAATTCTGTAAGGTATCCATATGTTGGATTGGATAAAGTGCCATGCACAGAGCTTCAGGGTTGTTTTTTCTGCAGATATTTGCGCGAGCCCTCCAAACTGTGCATGCACTGCCTTACGCTAACGCCTCCCGAGCAGCAGGCCCACGAAGCCCACGCACGCTCCCCCGGCACACCCAGGTTTGCACTGGGGCAGATGCACCTACCCCGTAGCCACCACGCACAGCTACACACTCCTCCGATCCCTGCTCTTTCAAAGGGAGAAACACCACGGAAATGCACAACTCTGTAGAGACTGGAAATTCTGACCTGAGCACAACTGCAGCCCGGTCCCTTGGCTTCCCCCTGCTCCCCACGGAGCCGGCGCTGACCTGCCGGGCGAGGATCCTCCTGACAACGTGGTCAAGAGAGGGGCTGGGGAGCCCAAGCGCCCTGGCCCGCCAGCCTGCTCAGGGTGATGTGAAGGGGGGCTGCAGCACCGTGTGCCAGAAACACCGCGCGGGGTTTCTCTCTTGGTACCAAAGGACAAGCTGCTTTATCAAGCCCAGCTGCCTCTTCTGAAGATCTCTGTAAAGACGCCCAAGGATTGCGATCCTGCACGTGCTGGGCTTCCTGCTAGGCCCAGTTGTGTCAGTCAAACTGTGCTAGCGACCAAGACGTTGTATCTGCTCACTGCAGCCATCCACAGCAGAGCATTTAGCACTGCCACAGACACGGCTACTTCCAGTCAGGTTACCCTAGAGATGGGCTAGATTCAATACAGTGCCAATTCTAGACCAGCTTTTTCTTTGACTACTGCAAGGTTAGGAGAAAAAAAATACATATGCACCTGCATGCACACACACACACACGTACATATCTATGTGTATACACACACATACCCCTACTTCTGCTGAGGTTCCAATTGCTTGAACAGTGTGCTGGACAATCTACTTTTTTTCAGAAGGCAATAAATAAATAAAAATCAGTTGTGAAGCCAGATGTTTTTGGCTTTGCAGAGGTCTGTCTTGTCATCTGGGAAGCTCAATGAATGTATAACTTGTGTCTATACATAAACACAGGCACGTATACATGGGATTACAGTCATATTTCAGTTATGCTTTCAAGCAGCTATTCACAGAAACATAAACCTGAAAGCCTGCATTATTTGTCTTTTTCCATACCTGTCTGCAGAAATCTACCTACACATGTGGTAACATGGCAAACCTTGCTTGCTGTCCCACATTTGATTAGCACTGCAATCTACATCACCCTGTTTCACCTGCAGCTTTATCCGTGCCAAGAGCACACAAGACAGAATGATACAAAATGAAATCTGGGGAAAGCAATTTGATAAACCTTGCCAAAAGCCAGGGCAGCACAAACCCAACTTGCAGCAAGTGCTGCTCAGTAACTGAGCGCATTCTCATGGACACATAAGCAAAACCTCTGGGATGTGCCAAAGCTCCTTTTCCGTGTGCCAAAGCTCCTTTACCAGCAGTTACGTCTTTTCAAAGGACACGTCTCCTTCTCCAGCACGGGGAACCCCGGGATGCCCCTTGGTTAGTCCTAGCAATGTCTGTGCGAGA